CCAGCTATGCCCCAAGATAACCGCCCACCCCCGCACTGAGTTATTTTGGTCCAAGCAAATTAGCACCAGCTAATCCTGGCTGCGCTTCCCTGGAAAGAGGCTTGGGGCTGAGCCTCATGTGCCGAATACCAACCTCCCCTCTTTTCTCCTTATACACTCCTTCCACCCTGCCCCCAACGCACCCATCCATCCCTCCATCCGCCCACAACCCTCCCTCCCTCCACAATCTATCCACCCTCCCACAATGCAACCATTCCTCCACCCCATCCATCCACCCTCACAATGTTTCCATCCATCCATCCCCCCACCCCACCATCCATCCCCCCTCTACCCCATCCATCCACCCTTACAATGCATCCATTCATCCCCTCCCACAATGCACTCATCCATCTATTCATCCACCCCCACAACCCATCATCCATCCATCCCCCCACAATGCACCTGTCCATCAGCCCATCAGCAGCCCCTGACCCAAAAAAGGTTCCCCACGCCTGCCGCGCACCCTCCCTTCCCGCACATTGTCTCCCTCCCTTTGGACCCCTCCCCCACCTCTCTATGAGGCATTGCAATGGACCAGCGTCTTGCACCTGTGTGCCCTGTGCCCCACGCTGCTGGTGCCCAGGGGCGACTCCCCACTGATCCATCCCTTCCACTTCCCACCAGGGCGCCATTGTGGAGAAGAGGATCCTGGCCAAGGTGCACAGCCGATTCATTGTCACGCTGGCCTACGCCTTCCAGACCAAGGTGGACCTGTGTCTGGTCATGACCCTCATGAATGGTGGGGACCTCAGGTAAGTGGGGCCCTTTTGTGCCCCTCCCTGTATGGGGGTGGCATCATAGGAATATCTACCCAGTCTCAGGAAATCCCCCCTCCCGGGCTTATCCTGGGCTACAGCCAAGCCCCCATAGCTCCCCCCACCTCTTCATCCATCCCTCCATCTATTCCCCCTTCGCCATCATGTTCTTCTCTGTGGGCCTGGCTCCCTGGCAAGACAACATCTCACATCATGCACCATGGACAGGAATTCCCATGGTGCACTGCTCTTCCTCTCCTTGAGAATGTGGTGCATCATGGGAGTTGTATTTCAGTTGCCTCATGTCCCCTGGGGTGCAAAATCTGACAATCAGGGTGCATGGCCTTCCAAGCCAAGGTCCTCTGTCCTGGTCACGTGTCCCCCCTGTCCCCAGGTACCATGTCTCCGAGTCACTTCCCCCTCTGCCCTCCCCAGGTAGCAAGTCTGTGTCACACCTTACCCCTGCCCTCCCTATGTACTTCCGCTCTGCAAGGTCCTCTGTCCTGGTCACGTGTCCCCCCTGTCCCCAGGTACCATGTCTCCGAGTCACTTCCCCCTCTGCCCTCCCCAGGTAGCAAGTCTGTGTCACACCTTACCCCTGCCCTCCCTATGTACTTCCGCTCTGCGTCACCTCCCCCCGACCTCCCTCCGGAGGTACTGTGTCTCTGTGTCACCTACCCCTCTGCCCTCCCCAAGTACCACCTCTGCATGTCACCTCCCTCCTTTCCCCTCAGATACTGCATCTCCACATCACCTCCTCCCCGCCCAGCCCAGGTACCGCATCTATGCATCACCTGCCTCCTTCCCGCCCCCCCTCCCGCCCCAGGTACCATGTCTACAACGTGGATGAGAAGAACCCTGGGTTCCCAGAGTCCCGGGCAGTTTTTTACACAGCCCAGATCATCTGTGGCTTGGAGCACCTGCACCAGAACCGCATCATCTACCGCGACCTCAAGCCCGAAAACGTGCTACTGGACGACGCAGGTGAGGGGGTGGGGCTGGGCTGGGGGTCATGGGGTGGGGCTCTGGGGGTGAGGGCAGGGAGGGGTTAAGGTCTTGAGGGGAGTGGTTGTGTGTAGGGGCGTGGGAGAGGATCTCGGGAGGAGGGGGCGTCCCACCCCATCTAATGTTGGTTCCCGTCTGCCCAGGCCATGTCCGCCTATCAGATCTGGGGCTGGCGGTGGAGCTGCCAGAGGGG